ACAGTCTTTCGCCCTTATTGGTTTCATGTACAGCGGCACATTAACACATAAATATATGTATATATGGCACATTTAATAGTGTCATTGCTTCAGATATAAATATGAAAAATAAAAAAGTGGCATCTATTTTAAAGAAAGGAGAAAAACATTTTCAATATATTTCCCTAAAAAGAAAAGTTCATAATTTTTGTTTGCTTCTGTTTTTTTTATTGTTATTAAAGCAGTGATAATCATGCAATTTAATAGTCAATTGTCAATCGCTATTCATAACCTACCTTCGTGATATGAAATAAGATATAAATGAGAGAACATATAGGGCAAGAATCAAATGAGTCGTGAAATGGGCTTTCTGTAGCCCATGTGATCTCATTAGTAATAGGTATATGTAAAGTTTGGCTGTAGCACACATACATTTTCAGGTTTTCTCATATACTTAAACTAAAATGATTAAAGTTGGCATGAAATTAATCTATTTTGTAAATGCATGTTATTGTGAATGATCCGTGCATATGTTTTGATATCATAATGTTTAATCAAAATGTCTTGGCTTACAGTTTTTCTCGATTGCTAAAACACTATAACCAGGCTTTTGAACTACAACCGCCTGCGAGAGATTCAAAGGAGAGTGATTGAGGATGATCATCATTTTCGAGGGATAAATGCCATCAGCCTCTCCACAATTGATCGTATCCTCCGAAAGCACCAGTTCTGGATGAAACCGGCATACCGTGTCCCTTTCGAACAAAACTCTGACCGAGTGAAAGACCAACGAGTGGAATATGTTCTTATTGCACCAGTGTGTGTAATACTATGTTGTAGTGTGTGTGTGTTTTTGAAAGCTTGTGTGTGATGTCTGAGGGAAAAGTTTGTTTTCTCAGCAAGAGTGAATGGTTTTGAGTGTAGAGCTTCATTTTGACCTGAAAATAGGATGTTTGGGGAATTGGGTGAGACGTTATGGATTTGTGTTTACGGTTTTGAGAATACGAAGCATAGTTTCAAGAAATGTGTTTAAGCAATCGAGAGAAACTGTAACCTACTTGTGAAAATAACATCTAAAACGTAAGCATTGTACATATGAGCCGAACAGTGAATGTTATGATTACAATAAAACCAATAAAATACAAATATGGTCAATGCAAAGCATCACATTTTAGTAGTTTATTTTATTCACTTAATTACTTTAAGGCTACACTACAATATCTATACTATAGGATATTATAACCATAATGTTGAGAAAAGAAAGGTCTTAATGTGTAAAATAACTATTCATGTACAATATAGAGAATTTGTAAAAATTAAGTTGTAAATATGTAAATACTTTTACATTTTAGATGCTGTCAATATGTCCATATTGTATGTTTCCAAGTATATCTAAATGTACAATAACATGTCTAAATGTTATGAACACCTATGAATAATAATGAAATCAGGATGCCATACCTGAAGAGTTGTTGTTAAAACAGCGCTAAGATTAACCATTTATCCATTACCCTGTGCAACCTAAGTGATTTGTTTCATAGTATGATCAGCTATTGTTTACATTTCTCTTCTTTGAAATAAAGTTCACAAAAAAATCATTCACAGTAAGAATAGGAATATCCGTAATAGATTTAAAAAGGGTAATTTTTAATTTAATTTTACATTCAAGTGTGGCTTAAGTGTCCAAATACTACTTAGGGCTGCTGTTGAGAGCCATACTATGTTCAATACTGTAGTATCATTCACCCCTTCTTTCTCTCCCTCATTATCTCTCTCCCTCAGCTCCGGTGGTCCTCATCAGCTCTCATTTCCCTTGACTGCTGTAGTTCTCATACTCCGGTTTTGTCCATGGCCCGGTGAGCCTCTTCCACTCTTCCCCCCGGCCCGCCATCTGTTCTGCATCTGTCTCTTTTATCGCCTCTTCTCCCATTGGGTCCTTCCTCACCTCGTTCCCTGGCCCGCTGCTCTCCTCTTTCCCTTTAACCCCATTCCCCTCTCTGCCCTGGCTCCCTCTCATATTCTCTCTTCCGTCATTCCGGCGTTTTTTTTTTTCACACTTGGAGGGAAAAACAAGGCTTCCTCTGCTGCCCACCAGTTATTTTTCCAGTTTTCTACTAAGTAATGTCCTTAGACTGTGATATTAAACATCACAAATTATTGATAATGCATACTGTGCCCAGAATATGAACACAATGCTGTAAATTGTATGTTAAGCATTTTACCATTAGAAAGAAAACACTTAACATGCAATAGCAGGTTGCGTTCATATGGGCTCATATACTTGCCTGTATATAGTTTGTCTTTTTTTTTAATATCTCTTTCTTAGTACATTAAGCCATTTGCGGCAGGTGCAGTAAATGGATCGCAAGTGCCCAAAACGTGCAGTTTGTTCACATATCTTTGCTTTTATTCTTTTGAGAGGTGATCTAAATATTTATGGCTTAAAAAAGACAGAAAATTGTGTTGCATTTCTATGGATGTTTTGCCCTCCAGGTCTTTGCTATGATAAGGTGATATTGATGTGCGAATGGTCATATATTGTTGCAATCATCTGTGTGACAAAGTTGCCGAAATTCAGAATGAGTAGTCTTTGCAGCTTATTTTCGAATCAATGCGTTTTTGTTTGTTTTTTTACTGGGGAGGAAGTTTTGAGTTATAGTATATTTTCATTGTACATCAAGTTGTTTATTTCAGAAGCTCAAGGATAGTTTGATTGCTTATTGTATATTTTGCCTATTTAAATATTGTGTTGTCTTCCTGTAGTGCCAGTATTACTGAATATGACTGAGGCTCCCGTGAAATCCTACTTTATCCACTGGATGTTGTAAATCTACAGGATGGCGGTGAGGATGGTGAATAGAGTAAGAGTGAGAGAGAGGGAGATGGAGAGGTGAAGCGAGCTATTGCACGTCAGAGAGAATGAGCCGAGACCCACCATGTTATCACTTTAGAGATGCTCATCAATTCAAATGTATTTCTGCTTCCGTCCTCTGCCATGCAGAAAACTAACTTTTCCCCTCTTTTCATTGAACAGAATTAAAGAAAAAAAAAAGTAATTTACACTCTAACGTGGGAATCGATTTCCATCACGGTGGGTGGATATAGGATAGAGGGAGAGGAAATGGGATTTATGCTGTAAAGTCCGATTAAAAATCATAATGATAACCTTGAATATCTCCAGATTTGCAGCGACATTCATAAATACGCAATGCTTCAGAGATGATTTATAGAGGGTTAGTTATATGAGTTTTCGCATGTTTCACTAATTGAATAGGCTTCTTCACACACGCACATACAGTAAGCCTGTGCAGCACTTGTAAAGTGAAATTGCTTTAATCGGTTAAATTAATAGTATTTGTGGTGATGTTCCTGAGCTCTCCATGTAATCAAGCACATATATTAGTGTATGATGATGACTCATGATAGATTCTGGTTGTGTGTGTGTGTGTCTGTGTGTGTCTGCAGATATACACATAATCTAATGAATAATTGATTTGTTAAATGAAATGAAAAATGGTGTGTCTGATTGGTCCAGACGCTACAATATATAGAGGTAAATTCAATTCAGATCCAGAGGAGCTGTGGTGTGTAGTCAGAGTGGGATCCAGAGAGACAGATTGAAAGGTAGAGCAAACATGGATGTGTGGGACAAAGCTTGCTGACGTGGTTGAATTGCACTGCAAAAAGTTAACTTAATCAGTATTATTGTCTTGTTGTTTTCCAATAAAAACATCTAAATGTCTTAAAAACAAGATCATTTTAATTCAAATTTTAATAACATTTTTAAAATTCAATTCAAACTGAACTTTAGAATGGTACAGTAGTAACAGTAGTTGTTAATTAAGAGTTGAGAAAAATTAACTTCAATATATTTTCTGAAAATGTCTTTAAGTTAAGTCTATTTTTAGGGTAATTAAATGTTTTTAGGTATTTAAAAAAAGAACAAGTACGTATCAAAGAATCAAATTTGAAATTAATAATTAAAGGAAGGAGAGGTGGAAATATGTAAAAAAGCACCTTCTGTCAGGCCTCATCGACATCTATAAACACACAAGCAAAGTAAATGCAAACAAACACATTTAACAAAGAAGATATAGATTTTAATATCTTTATAAACGCTTTTTCTTATTTTTTTTGAGAACAACTTGTTAAACCATCAAATCACTAGGATGGAGAGACACAGAAGAGAGAGGAAGGGAGGGATGAGGGGAGACCGGATTGTGCAGTTTAGTCAGAAAATGGTGCCCTACGGACATACCAAACAAATGTGTAAACAAAACAAAATCACCAAAAAAAAAAAAATCTAATCATAATAATAATAAAAATAATAATTGCGTTCTGAAGAAAGGTTCTTCAGAGATTCAGGAACCCTGTTGTAATCAAAAATGTCATAATGATATCAGTGTCAGTACTGATTAATATTTCCATTGCAGATTGTGATGATACAGTTCTCCTTATTAGTCTTAGAACAGGAGGCATAGTTCTCCTGTACTCCACAGCATTGTGACGGCAGACTTTCTGTCATCCATAGTGTCCCCAGTGTTCACGTGATTGTCCCTCTCCTGGACTCCTATTTGCATTCACAGCAGACACTGTAGAGGCAATCAAGCAGACCTATGGCTCCAAAAGGTCCATAATTGTTTTTTTGGCCATACTAAATTTGAAATGTGTTTTTTGTCATCAAGTCTCTTAAAGATACATTTAGTTTTTGTGTGTGTATTTTTTAAAGAGTTGTTTTCTTTTCTTCTTGTCTGTCTTGTTAAAACAGTTGATTTCACATCGCTCTAAGAAAGAGAGGTGTCTATGTTTTCAATGGCGGGCTTAAGCTGAAGGCGCTTTTCAAAATAGAGTTCACTTCAATTAGACCTGTGTCCCCTCCAGAGTCGACCCCCCATCAGCAGTCCATTTCTAAGTCCTCTGAGTCACAGCCAAACAAAACAAACAACACAGAGGACAAGAAACAAACACAACTCTAATTTTTTTCACAGCTTTTTATACTTTCTACACATTTATTTGGTTATCTGTGCTTTCTTTCATTGAAATGGTTTTCCATTTAGAGGGGGATAGACCAGACCAATAAAGGACAAAAAAAAAGAACAACAACAGTGGCAGTGCAAGCATATTCGGTTTGCTTCACTATTCTTCTTATTCCCCGATCCAAATTTGGAGTTTATATCATCCGGTGTTCAGTTTTCATCTATTTCAGTCTAAATGGCAAAGCTCCTTATACAATGTAGTACACATTATCACTCACACATACACACACAAACATACACACATTAGTAGGCCTGGTAATGCTGGAGCTAGAGCTGATCTGAGGACTGCAGCGTATCCATGATGCCATGATGGTCCAGCATCAGAGTTCAGCGCAGAATGAGCACAAGCAGTCCCAGAATACTAGAGAGAAAGAAATGTGTATGATGAGAGTGTCCCCAGTTGGTGGCTTGCTGGACCCCACTAGGGGGACGCACAGAGGTCCGGGGGGTACATTTGTGCTTTCTGCGGGTGTTTGAACCATCAGAAGATGTTTCATCATATTTCCCCGTGAAATCGGGAGAGGAGTATTCCTTATCCGCCATCTCTTTTAAGGTGTGGACCTCATTAGGTTCTTTTCCCTTGCTGCCCCTGACACGCTGGCGTGTGCAGTTCCGAGAGCGGCCGGGCCTCTGAGCAGGGACTATGCCCGGAGACCCTCCCGTTCCTGCTTGGACACCATTTATGGCAGGGGGTGGCTGGGGCAGGAGAGAGGGAGGGGAAGGGTATTGTTCATTCAGTTGGGGGTGGTGTGGGTGTGTTTGTGGAGGCTGGGCAGGATGGGGGTCCTGCTTCAGTGAGACCTTATCTGTTCCTGCCCAAGTCTTGGTCTTACTCTGGTGCAGGGACTCAGATCCGGAACAATTCGGGAAGTCCTCGTTCTTCAGTTGCTTCAGATCTTTGCCTGCCAGTTCTGCCGGTGCCATGCAACCCACTGACGATGTGGACCCCCGAAACTTTTTGAGCCAGTCCCACAGTGATAAAGCCTTACAGTCACACTCCCAAGGGTTGTCATTGAGGCGAAGGTACTCCAGTGCAGGCAGCTGGGTGAGACACTCTCCAGCTAGCTCCGTCAAGGAGTTGTTGAACAAATAGAGGGTAGTAAGCCGCTGCAGGTCGTGGAATGCCAGGCGGTCCACCCACTGAAGTTGGTTGTGGTGCAGTAGCAGCCGGTCCAAAGCCCCCAGTCCTCTAAATGTATTTTGGTGCAGGCTCCACAGACGGTTCCCGTGAAGAAACAGGTGGCTCAAGATGTGTAAGTCCACAAAAAGATCATCCTGCAGATACTCCAAATGGTTGTCCTTTAGACACAGAAACAAAATATTGGTTATATTTTTCTACTACTGCAATAGTACAATATGCAACCAGTGCCATTTTATTTTGTTACACAAGCAGTTATGTGAGTGTCTCACCTGCAAGTACAGATACTGGAGGTTGCGGAGACCCTGGAAGATGTTATTTGGCAGTGCACTGAGGCCACAGCGGTATAGATGGAGGGCATGGAGCCGGCCCAGCCCATGAAAGGTTTCTGCAGACAGTGAACGTAGGTGGCGATTGTCTCCCAGGTCCAATTCCTCCAGCAAGGTGAACCCTTGGAAAATAGTTGGTTCGATATATGTGATATTGTTGGAGTAAATCCACAGAGTGACCGTGGTAGGGCTAAAGTGGCCCCGCAGTAGTCGATGGATCTTGTTGTTTTGGAGGAAGATGCGCTCACTGTGTGGAGGAATGCCTTCCGGGACGGACAGGAAGTTGTGGGCTTGGCAGCTGACGGTGCTGGGGGCCATGTAGCAAATGCAGTGACGTGGGCAGGACCAGGAGAGCTCCAGCCCACAGAGTACCAGCAGGAACTCCAGCCCACAGCCTAGAAAGATATGGAGAGAGAAAGAGACAGACTTAGTGTTTGCTATGTTAAAACTAAATTTGTATCCAAGTCATAAATTCTGTATTGTAAAGAAATTTGCTGTTTGTTCTTCGAGAAAGTTTATCCATAATTACCTCCAGATCTGTTAAAACCTGTGAAAGACAAATAAGTTCAGGTGTCTCATTAAATGTAGACACTATATTTTGAGACTTTTTCATCCCCATATTTTGTGGATGAATTTAAAGTTTTTTGTAAAAATGGCCATTTAAAATTAATGATAATGCTGAATGATATTGAGAATAATATCAAGTAAGAGCAGCACATTTCTGGTTTGTTGACAAACAGGGTATTCGAGCCTTAATGATGGGTCTGTAGGGATACCCAGTACAAAAAAGGTTGGGAAACACTGTGATAGAGCTAGATCATAATGCAAGAATATATCGAAACAGTAAACATTTAGTAAACATCTTGGTAAAACTTATAAAATTTGCTTTTGTAAGTGTTTCTTTAAATCATTAATAAATAAATCAATATAGAATCTTTACTGAAGAATTATATATGGAAGTTTAACATTTTAAGACTACTGATGTAGTATGAATTATATACATTTTCATAGATGTACCAAGCTGTTGATTGCTGTTCAGTGGATACTGTCTTCACATAAAGATCAAACATCAAGACTGATGTCATCATCATCATGTTGACACAAGCTCAGCGTCAATAGTATCTGCAAGATGTTGCATCAATCAGTGATGATGCGCATGCCTCAAGGTAAACAATGTCATATATACATATGCAGTACATATATATATATATATAGAGGCCAGACATGTAACATGATAATTACACACCAGTTCACTGATGTGTCCTCTCACGTCTGGCACATCAAATTGTGTTTTCTATAGATGCTCAGTGCTTTATACTCATAGTGGTAATCAAGATCAGGTTTGTATGTGTTTTGTTTGTTTCCCTCAGGCTCTTTTAAAGAAATAGTTCAGCCAAAAATGAAAATTGTCATGATTTACTCATCCTCATGTTGTTCCAAACCTGTATAATCTGTACAGTTTTTCTCATTGAATGTGGAACATAAAATAAATATTTTGAAGAACGTTGGGGTCCGAACTAAAATGGGCCATACTGAGTTTCATTGTATATAAAAAAAAGAAATGTAGACATAATTCAGAATATCGTCTTTTGTTTTCCACAGAAGAAAGGTTTAAAAGGACATGAGGGTGACTATATGACAGAATTTTTATTTTTGAGAAGACTATCCCATTAACTCACTTAACCACCTGGACTTCCTTGGTCAACCATTTTCTTCTGAAATACTATATCAAATTTGGTTGAAGATCATTTGGTCAAAGATGGTCTTTTCAGCAGTGATAATTGTGACTTTCAATGAAATAAGGTCTGCCCTATGAAACTAAGCCCCCTTTGAAAAGGAAATAAACAATGACAAGAAAATAGAATAACTTCTGAGCTCTTCAGGGAAGAAGCAAAATCTGGTATTTTACGAGTATTTATTCTGTCCGTGTGTGTATAAGACGGGCTCACCCTGCTTCTGCTGAGACTGATCCCAGAGCCTACTAAATCATTTTTAAAAGTTTTTACATTTTTATTTGTTGTGATTGTTTTTTTTTTATGATTATTGTACTTCCTTTTATGTAAAGCACTTTGAATTACCATTGTGTATGAAATATGCTATATAAATAAATTTGCCTTGCCTAGTAATCCTATATTACTTCAGCTGTTATCCAATCAGTACTGGATATTTTTTCATTCTTTCCCCATGTGTTTTGTTAGTGTGATACATGTCCTTTGAGTGAATAAGCAAGAGAGTGTGTGTGTTGTGTTGCTCATGGAAAGTTAAGCTTCTGGGGATTTCAGCCAAATAAATCAGAAAAGACAAGGCAAACAACTCTGCTTTGGCTGGCGAAGCTGCTGAGCTTCTTCCCTTTATTTTTCTTACTCGCGGCTGTTTACGTCT